GCGTCAACTATTTGGTGCTACACCGTCAAGGCTAGCCCAGCCTCCACAGTGCTCCAGCCCCGCAGTGCCAAGCTTGTGGCTCTGTGTTGCATCTCATTCGCCTGTGCTCGCACACTTTGACGGAGTTAAAGCGCTGCGGAAGTTACGCTAGCCTCAATAGTGTCGCAGTTCACGAATACCCATGGTTATATTAAAATAACCCGAGCCTAGAAGTGGACGAGCAGAAGTTTGGAAACAATCTTTGTGAGTTCAGCTGAATTTTCATTTAAGGGGGGACACTACCCAGAAAAAAAGAATTCTTAAAAAAACGTTGATTTTGAAAAATTACATATTTACATCCACTAACATCTAGAGAGTATTTTCAGAAATTTCCACTAGTTTACACTGCATAGTTAATTTTTTATAACTTATTTTCTGTAGGGTTTGAAGCACTTTGAATGCATTTTTCTCTGTTCCACTTTTTGGTATAAATTCCATTTTAGTCAATCTATTGTTTCATAATGGCAATACAAGGAAGGCTCGTGCTTCACTTTTCCTGATTGAAATTTAATAAGGAGTGCGGCTATGAAATTTTTTTGTCACTTTACGGATGTCTTTTATAAGAAATGTTGACATTTTGTCAAAGACACAGAAGACCAAAAAGTTGACCAATTTTGCAGAAGAAAAAACTGAAAAAAATAAATGACTTTTTACAAAAAGCTTTCCATAGCCGCACCTCCTAGGCATTCTCCTACATATCTAGCGAATAAAATTCTTGAGCGTTGTGATAGTTTTCCAACGATAGATTAACTAAACAATGTAGGCATGTTGCTGATAAAAGCTGTCCTAATTTCCATCCCACTTAACAGACAGACCTGAAATTTTGTTATGCCCCCTCTAGCATGACCACCAGCCTACCCTGTGAATTTCAATAATTTTAAGCCAAGGGTTCAAAAGTTGACCCTCCTAGGGGATGTGTCCCCATAAGCACAATGTGCGGTAGTAAAAGACTCGGAGAAACTATTCGACATTCCATTTAAAAACGTTCGACCAAAAACACTGTATTTGCTTTGAACTCAAAATCCACTATTTCCACATGTCTACACTTTTCACTGTTTAATACTATTTGCCACTTCAAACACCAAATTGAAAAAACCTTTTTTTTTTTAATAGTTTTTTTTTTTTTTGTAGTGCAACTTGCACGTGCAAGCGTATAGTCTCGGTTTTTGCAACTTATTTATGTATTTGTATATTTGTCGGAGTTCTGGAGAGAAGCACTTGTTTATTGTTGTGGTGAAATCACGGGCAGGATTGGAACAACGCAAAAGTGCGTCGGTCGCCCCACCTCTGGCTCGAGCTCCTCCCCTTCGATGACGCTTTCGCGTCCACGTGAGCCTCGGGCCGTGCAGATGCGGTCAAAGCACCACAGAAGGCAAAGAGCGCAAGCCGGTAGCCGAGCGTCGGAAAGGGGCGCCCTGCCGCTTTCATCCTGTCGGCGACTGCAACGATAGATGTTTCCAGCGAACCTCTTTCTTAAAATACCTTGCGGCCGTTGCAGCCGCTGCTCATGAAGGGACGGACGGTGGCTGCAGCTGTCGCATACCCATAGTACTCCTGTGTGGCGCTGCTTCCATCGTGGCTTCTACAAAGCGGCGTTTTGTTGCGATGACTTGTTTGTTGCGGCACTGGTCGCGACCTAGGGACTTCAGTCTCATGACGGCCATGTTGTGCAGGGAGGATTTCACTTTCACCTTTTCAAACCACTCTCGTAGTTGCAGAATTTGCATTCGGTTTCTATTATTATGTTTCCTAGTATTACCGATTTTTTAAACCTTGTTTGATACGAAGGGACTGCAACGCAGAGTTGCTTTTGTGAAGTTCATCGTGATTTGAAAACGCACAGGAGACGAGGACAGAGTAAGAAAACACGTACGACGGACAAGTGCTCACTGGCAACTGATATGCTTATCGAAACCTCAGAAAACACAAAAAAGCATCCCGCCCCCCAGATCGCTCATGTGCACTTCACCTCCTTGTTGTCAAACTACACGTCTTAAAAACAGTAAACTCATGATGTTTACGTGCTGACACATGTCATTGTCTTTAGAAACGCCATCTCGGCCTCAGTCAGTGCAAACACCCATTTCTGAAAATTTCTGCAGCAAGGACTATTTTTGTCGAAATCCTCGTCCTTGGATGTTTTGTCGGGTGTGTAATCTTGCCCAAAATCAAGCACCTGTCCTGATCTCGAGGGACAGTAGCATGAGAGTTAGGGAAAATACTTTACTAGGGGAATACTGGACACTCCTTGAGAATACATAGAAAAAGACGACGACAAAGAACCGTGGAAACAAGTGTGACAGCAGCAGATGTACTCTCTTCATATCCGGGACCCCGTCAACCGCACCGCATTCCAAGGCGTTTCCTGGCCACGTGCTGTGGCAGCAAGAGGAGGGTAGTGGGGGGAGAGGCGTCGGCAAATAAACAAGCCCAATTTTCCACCCGTCTGCCTTTATGAAGTTTTGCATTAGACTCTTCATTTAAAGCTTCTCAGAAAGTTTTCAAAGAATGCCTGTGGAGACATTAACGCAAAAAAATGTATGGTGGGAGACCTTTTGACTCGTAATAGCAAAAATTGGTTCAGTAGGAACTCGTTCATACATGTTTCGGGGGATTGCAATAAAGAAGTGCTTGATCTGGGAAAACATAACAATTGATAACGCTTTTGGGGGCCTATAGATAGGCCGCAGACTTTGGTTTTGACCGAAAAACACCAGTAAACATTTGCCTGTGTCAAAATGGTGAAATCAGTTAAGACCGTAACACATCAGTTTCTGAAAAATTCTGCAACAAGGACTATTTTTGTCAAAATCCCCCGTCCTTAGACATTTGGTCGGGCGTGTAATCTTACCCAAAATCAAGAACACCTGTACTGACCTCGAAGGGCAGCGGCATGAGATTTAGGGCAAATACTTTACTAGGGGAATACTGAACGCTCCCTGAGAAGACATAAAAAAAAGACGACAACGAAGAACCGTGGAAACAAGTGTGATGGCAGCAGCGGTACCGTCTTCACATCCAAGACCCCGTCAACCGCACCGCATTCCGAGGCATCTTTTGGCCACATGCTTTGGCAGGAAGAGGGGTGAAGTCGGGAGAGAGGCGTCGGCAAATACACCGCTGCACCAGGGGAGGATTTGGCACAGCTGTCGTTCTGTCTAATGCAAATAAGGAGAGTGTTTTGTATTCCCGTAGTATAGTCAAGTATTTGGTTAGGGTTAGGTTAGTCAGCTGGTCACCACAAAGGGTCACAATGTCTTTGTACTATTCAGGTCATAGCTGGACAACAGTGTTTAAAACTGCACTGGCAGTCGTTACCGATTGAATCTTGCGAAAGAAGCAAGATACACTTGCCTTGCTAAGTGGCGGAAACATCTAGCTTCAAGCGCATTGATTTTTGTTGTCGCACAGAACAGGAGGGTTTCGGGGTAACAACGAAATGAAAAGCTCTGGGCAATTACGTTAAAGGTATCGGACTGGTCATCTGTCAATTGCAAGTGCTGTTATAAATGTGTGTGCGAATTTTTAAAAAAATGTTAATCTTTAGCTCTTTTTTTCCCATTTATTGTGTTGAAATTTAGTATAGTGATGTATTTCTCAGTGGTGATTTCAAATATGGAATTAATTATCAGAGAGCTTTTCTAGATCCTGAGTTACCAATAAATTTGTAAGCGTAAAATTCTTCAGAAAATAACGGAAATTTTTATAGAATTGCATTCACCAAGACATGTTTTGTGCGGTGATGCTATTTTAAACCTGATTTAATGATATTACATTGGTAAAAAACGTTTGTAATCAAGTTGCACAAAACGGGAGGCTACATCTTTTTTAGACTAATCAATTGAAGTTTTTGTATGAGATATAAAGCAACAAAAATAGCATCACCTCACAAAGCATGTCTTGGTGAATGCAATTCTTTAGCAATTTCTGATATTTTCTGAAGAAGTTTACGCTAACGACCCGTAAAGAAGACCTAATTGAAATTACAAATTTGTTGGTAGTTCAGGATCTAATAAAGCTATCTGAAAACTAATTGCATATTTGAAATCACCACTGAGAAACACATCAGTATACTAAATTTCAGCACAATAAATGAGAAGTGAAATACAAAAAGTTAAAGACCAGCTTCCCTTCTTAAATTGGATTAAAACTCCATTTTCATGAAGAGTTATTGTTCTTGTTCTTTTGTGTTTTTTTTTTCTATCGGCAATTTTTGTTTACAGATAATTATCTTTTTTAGTGTCCACATGAAACAAATCGCAGAAATACGCCGATATTTAAAAAAGAAACAAGTGCCAAAAAACATCTGCATATTTTTCTTATAAATATACTTAAGAAAATCTGGTGCCTATCCGTAGACGAGACGGGAATCGGCACTCGTGGAGCAATTTATTCCATGCAAACGTCCATGTCAGTTATAAACTTATTTAGTAAAATATTTTTTCTAATAAATCAGTACTTTGAAACATTTCATCGAAACCCTGAGGCTGCAACAACTAAAATAAACGGACAACACGACACAAGATCTCGGGGGTTGTTTCCTATGTTTCCTACCCAGCTCACTTGCATACATTAGCCCCTTGCAATAAATACTTTGAATGATTATATGTAAAGTATTGAGCTTACAGACAGGAAATACTGTCAAGACCGGTTATAATGAAGTGAACGGGAATCGGAAATCACTTCGCTATATCTGCTATTTCATTATAGCTGACTTCGGTTATAACAAAGTGCAAAAGGAAATGGGAAATCATGATCGCTTTGCTGTCGCCACTTTTTTTTTACCACCGACCTTGTTTACCGGTCTTGACAGCAACTTGCGGTGTAGAATCAGTTTGTGCAGATTAATAATCGGACGGGCGTGCCCTGCTGCCACCTCATTTGGACGGCGTTAGAATTGCGCATAGTGCAACTGCTTGGCGCCTCTGGAAACAACTAATGACGTGCGTCTCCCCTTGCAGTGGACCAAGTTCAACGATTCGCCCACCAGCACAGTCTCCTCGCCCAGCATGAAGCCGGTGAATTTCGATTTCTCAACGGCCTCTGTCGAACAGGTTGCGTGCAGCTTCTGTGCTTCTTGTTGTTCTGGGGCCATTAACCACCGCGGCGGTTGGCAAGCAATGGAGACAGCAATCGAGCACTTGTCCGGGGCCAGCCGTCTTTTGGACGCGGCCACTGAATCAGAATGTGCATGAAAACTCTGCAGGCTGCTGCCCCCCTTCCGATTCTCTGTTCTCGTTGACTCGAACTGCGCCTGCACTTGCCTCGATCCCCAAGAAGGCTAACAAATTTTCCTTGGCGCATTGCTTTCTTCACGGTTTCCCCTCATTGTGTGTGTCAAACATGTTTGTTACCGTGAGTGTTTGTCATAGCCTAGCCGCTGCTCGACGTCTCGATTAACCAGTGAAAGTTTTGAGTCGTATGTGAAGCTGCTGTTGTTGCTGGAAAGTTTGCATACGACGGGTGGAGATAATTGTTCGGTAGCGGGTTTGGTGAAAGCGTAAATATATAATCTCGCTTACTAGATAGGCCGTGAGGGCAGTTCAAGTTGCATGACCTACTTGCGTGTGCTGCATGAGTGAGTTGCGTCTGACTCGTGTTAACCTTGCCGTAGGGACTGCGCTTTCCGAACTACTGCTCTGTTTGCATGTTTTCGTCGGTCCAATTGTCTCGCTTCGTTGCAGGACCCAAGAATTTTACATCCAGTAGCAAGACGCGTCTCGCCGGATGGTCACGCCATCCCTTACACCAGTGAACAAGAAAAGCCACCTATATCTGCAGGTGTGCCATTGCTTTAGTAGTCTGGAGCTCCTAGTTTTAGGTATAAAAGGCGGATTTTGCATTTGACTTTTGAGTGTGATTGACTGCGTTGCAACTGCCTTTGACTATTTTTACGACGAAAAGACGTACCTCTGTCCAGTAGTCCTGTAGCTTTTTTGATTCGCATATATTCCCTCTTTCTTTAAAGCATTATCTTTTCACTACAGGCTCGTATTGCAGAGAAGTAACCGCGTTCTCGGTTGCGGTTGCACTTCGGAAGACCCCCGGGGGGTCGAAATTAATCCTCAGACCTCCGCCGGGGCATGCCAGATGCCCTACGTTGGCTTGGCACGTGAAAGCCCCCAAATTCGATTCTGACCACAGGCTGAAAATAATTGTGACTATGTTATAATCACTCGTTTCTCGTAGATAGTGCACGGTTTTGGTCGCATTGACGCCGTGAGGTCACGACGTCTAGTGAGGTCACGAGGTCACGTTACGTAAGAGTCATGACGTCGCACGACACAGGAATGTCTGGCGACATCACACTCGCAGAATACGTGTCCAGCTCATTCACACTACATTCAGTGCACCTCCGAGTTTATCGGATACGGTCGAGACGTGCCTAAATTTTTGTAAGGCAGGGGGCGAGTTTCAAGATTGAGACATTCTTCGTTCACGTTCACTCTCTTTTCTCTGATCTCGTGACTACCAGATGCTTGCGGAGATTGCAAGGGAGGTGCCACGCAGAAGAACATTGTCAAGAGGTTGCCTGGTACGAGTGACCAATTGACTGATTCATTGGTTCCCAGCAACTGACTCCTGTCCTCTCTCCTCTGTTCCTTAGGCTCTTCTGCAACCTTGCCCATGGTTCCCCAACAGACTCTGGCATACGTTGTAACCACAGAGGTGTCCGGAGATGTCGCTGCAAAGTGAGTCAGTGATACCGACGTCCATTTTTTTTATATCTGCTCTGTACATCACGGAACACATGTAGCTTCAGTGCATGAAACCACGAGTGGCACTTGTAATGTCTGGGATATACAGCAAAGCCCCTATGTCACATAAATATTTGCCGGATGGAATTTAGTAATTTCGAAAGCCACGTAGTACTTGCTGCGAGAAATTAATATTTTGGCTGAAATAACTGCAAACTTTTGTGCCATAAAGCCTGCAAACATTATCGTCAAATAACCACAACTGCTCTCTTGCGAGTTTAGCCTGATGGTCCCTTTCGGAGGGGAGAAGGGCATATGCCGAGCACCTTTGCGTATTTGAAAATGTAGTCACTTGTACGAGGATTGCTCAAAAAGTAATGCCCGGCCTTCGTTTTCTTTTCATTCAAATTATACAAACTTTGCAGTGAATATTACTGCACCTTTCTTGCATACATGCTATTGTTTTTACGTAATCTCTGCTTAGTTTGTTTGTTTTATGCTGGCGTGAAACGGGCGTGGATGCCTTTCCTGTACCAGATCGTTTTTGGCTCACGCAGCCATGCTCTCGCCCCACAAACGATGCTATTGTTGTTCTCAAACTTTGTTTAGCACAGTGCATCCCTTAGCGGCCTGAAGAGATGAAAATTTTGCGGTGCCAAATCAGGCTTATAGGAGTGGTTGGGGGGAGTAAAATCGAACAACAGTTGACAATCGTCTCCAGAGTTTGAGGCTTTTGTAAAAACAAGCATTTTCAAACTCGAGGAAAAAAAAAAAAAAGAAGTCTCATTATTTTTGTTATGTCGCACGTGCCGATAATGTCAATAATTGGCACTGCAATTCCTTTGCTAACTAAAAGCTCTAGGGCCAACTGTTGACTTGCGACGTGCAAATTTGTGCGAGACAATTTATCAGCACGCTGCAAGATGTCTGGGTTAGGGGTGGTGGCAGGACGCTCCGACTACGACCATTCACGCAGCTTTGTCTCCCACCTTCTAATGCTTTAATTCTTTTCGCCCAGCATCCAACTGTGCGCCTACCGATTGTATAATTCCCATACACTGCATACACACGGTTATGAAAAATTTAAACGGCCGTGAATTGGCACACATGTATGCAGGAAACACCAATGCTGCATCTTGTACATTTTTATAATACAATCTTTATTTTTGGGGGAGAAAAGAAATGTGGAGCATTACTTTCTGAGCAACCCTTGTAACTGTGCGTACCACTTGTGACTCAGCTGTTTCCTTGTACATTAACAGAGCTTGTTTGTAGCTTTGGAGTGCTGTCCAAGACTGAAAGCTTTGATAGTTTGCCACTGGCGTATAGGTACTGTAGAGTGTGTTGAGTGCACCACCAGGCCTTTCAGAACTGAATGTTGTGTTGCACTTGATTGTCTTTGTGCAAACTAGGGACTTGAGGAGAAGGTAAGGGCAGCACGCTGTTCAGGGATCCATCTGGATATGTTTCTGTGCTCTAGGTGTATGTGGCATTTGGTAGCAGACTTATTTGTAGCCTAGTGTTTACTGCATTGGTAGAGACTTGCAAGTTTTGCTGACAATCTGTCTTCTAAGTTTTATTAATATATTGCTACTGATTACTTTCTACTTATTTGTTTTGATACCTGCTCACTAAGTGCATGCATCATTCTTGCTCATGCTCACTAAGTGCATGCGTCATGACCAAGCATCCCAGCATGCATTTATCTTTGTTTTTTTAATTTTTAGGCCTCATCAGTCTCGTCACTGAACCTTTTTCTTCTGCACCACATTGTGTTATTAGAATGTGTACATGTCGGCAGTATTTGTTTTGGGCACTCTAGTATGGTACTTTGGAACTGTATCATGTATCCAACTATGGTACACTCTTCGGCTATGTCGAGAACAATCTATTGATAATATATTGTAGCATCTCATCCAAAAGCTCCGTAAATGGCAATGTTAGCATTTTGTTTTGTCTTTCGGAAAGGATACAAAAATTTACACTACAGCATCAAAACTTTCTTTCCTTGCTATTTTTTCTTTTGCCAAGCTATGCTAGCTCTCGACTTCTGAAAATAATAGATGAAGCACATAATCTCAACAGGTTGGTTTGTTCATACTGAAGATGTGTGGTTCCTCAGCGGAGACTGAACCAAAGCCATTGTGCTGTAAACTAATACTGCTAGAATATAAGAAACTAAAATGAACAATGTCACTTGATTGAATTAAGGTCCCTGTTGCCTCTTATTTGTTTATACTACTTGAAGTTGGAGGGATCAACTACCTTGCCTTGTGATATGGCAGATAGGAGCAAAATATTACTAAAAACAATTGTGTCAAAATTAAAAGTTTTAAAATGAAGGGATATATTTGATCACTGGAGTTAAGACAACTTTTAATTTTAATCATTTTAGTCTGTCGGTTAACAAATAATAATGCCTTCGTGTTGAGCCGGCCTCAAGTACCGATCTCGGAGTGTTTACCCGAAAGAAAGGCAAAAATGGCGCACTATAAATTACATCTTAAAGAATGTGCCATTTTTATAGTATTTCCTTTCTGATGGAAACAACCAAAAGACTTTTTTGGACAGTCGCTTCTTGCACTCTAAGAAAGGAAGAGAAAACAAAACACACCGTTTCCCAGCAGGAGAGCTGTTGTGCCATCACCTTTTACACTTATGGGTGTAAGTAGAAATTTCTGTATTGTAATACTTAAAGTGAATCCATCTTTACCTGTGGCCTCATTATCTAAAATACACCCTGCTAAGAAAGGCCGTGTTTTTAATGTGAAAGCATTAACTGTCTCATGGAGCAAGCCGACGTCATCAGTTTTAAAACCACGCCAGACGGTTCTTAAATCCTTCTCCAAGTCAAGCCAGCTCCCACTCACCGGTTAGCCACGGCACCTTTTACGCCGCTTCGATCCTATTGGCTAGCACGCGTCGACCCGGATCCCATTCGTCGGACATGCAGCGCCATGGGGTGGCCAGTTGTTCAAACAGATGCGCAGCGTCAGTTTTAACAGCTGGCCACCTCATGGCGCTGCGTGTCCGTCAGCGCTAGAGTTCTTGTATAGGCTCCCTACGGGAGCCAGAGTTGCGCGTTCATCTTCATAGCGCTGTCTTTCCTGCACAGCATGTTGATCCTGCTCATCACATTACTGAATTCGGGGCCGCGCGTTCGAGGCGTGCGGCGTGCTCAAAAGTAGGGGAACGTACGCGGGGGCGCGTGCAATGTCTACTTTCCTGCATGGCACTTGATCCGGCTCCTCACGTGATCGGATCTCGGCGAATAGCGGCGCGGCAGCACGTGGAAAACAGACGCGCAACTCTGGCTCCTCTAGGGAGCCTATTAGCGGCGAGATGTTACAGTGGCGCCCTCGCTTGGTTCCCTCTCGTGACGTCAATACCTTGCAAACAACACGTTCGATGGTGTTTGTAATCAGCATGGTGGAACCTTGAAATCATAGCGCTCTGAAACCAACTTTGCCAACACAGTCAAAATTGAAGTTTATACATTCCTCTTATTTCCGTCGATGAGAAATCCTTTCTTGACGTCGTAGTCAGCATTCAGCCAATCGTGGTAGGCCGACCACAGCGACGCTTTCGATAGCGCATGTCGCCAATACAGGAACTCCAGTCAGCGCACCAACACGCGTGTTCCCCTTCTTGTTCCCCTTCTCCAGGGATTATTTTCGTCATTCTTGTCCAGCTTGCTTGCACCTTTGCATTATATTGCAATATAATAATAATGTACATGCTTTTGCATTCACAACTCCATTAGAAGTGCTTAGGTGTATTTGTTTTCTCTTCCTTTCTTAGAGTGCAAGAAGCAACTGTCCAAAAATGTCTTTTGGTTTTTGCTGTCAGAATTGCACATTCTTTAAGATGTAATTTATATTGCACTATGTTTGCCTCTCTTTCGAGTAAACACTCCTCGATACCAAAAAAAAAAGGGGGGGGGGGGCATTCTTTTTGCCAGCATTTTTTACTAAAAGAAATTGACAGGTTTGCACCAAGAACCACCTTTCTGCAAGGCTGACATTTGAGAAAAGCTTGGTTCTGAAAATGTTGAAAGACGAGGGATTTCAATATATTACACAAATAACTGGGTTCAAACGTTACGTTGCCACCGTGCCTGCGTGGAAAAAGCCATTTTGGCAATTCATTTGTATTTTTTAATTGCATTCTTGCTTGGTTTGTATCTCAATTTTGTTGCACCGTCGAATCGCATCCATCACTGGCCGTTTATACTTCGTCTCACTTTAACCCAGGCTGCAGCCAAGGCTAGGAGCGCTGGCTCTTTAAAACACGCCTCGGCTACACTAACACCCCTGCGGAGGGAGTGCCCACTGAGGTTACCCACTTTTGCTCATACAGTTGAACCTCGATTTAACAAAGTCGTCTTTTGAGCCGAAAATTTCGTTAAATCGCAAGTTTCATTAGACCGAGGTTTTGGTTTTTTAGCATTACAAGTGGTCTGCTAGACTCCCAAAACTCCTTAGTTGCCTCACATCTAGCAAGTGAGCCTTTACAAATAAGATTCCAGTACAAAATGTGGCGGTGATAGAAGAATGCAGTTCATCGACCTGCATTTTGTACGGTTATGGGAGCAGTGCCTAGCACCGTAGGAGAGCACGCAGTCGGAAAAGCAAAACGAAACCAATACACCACCGCGGAGCGGATCGTTCGTGACTGCCGACAGATGGCACCACGTGGGAAAACAAAACTTGTTACTATCATCATCATCGTTTTCAACTTTCTAGCGGCTGTAACTACCGACAGATCGTGCCAGGTATACGACCATCATCGGTTTTCAACAGAGCCGTCTCGTTCATTTATGTCTGCACGGTGCGAATGGCAGCTAACGTTACGTCGCCAAGAGTGAGATGCGACTCTCTCAGAAAGTCAATAAAGCGAACCGTCCATCAGCTGTTGTACACTGGTACGTTATGACTACTGTAATTCCGACTTGCAATTTAGACCTCGCTTGATCAGTTAACACATGACAAAAAAGGTTCACAAATGGGAAACTATCTATTTGGGGACCTCGGCACATCTGTTTAAGGTACAATCATGAAGTCGGTGAGTTTCGTTTGACGTTTAGTCGTCCAGAGCATTGGTGTCACATGGCGTTCGTATGTTGACAATGCCGCTAGCGCTTGTTCCTGTGATTGTGCGCCCGCATACGTCTGCAGAAGATCGATGGTGTCCATCACCTCTTTTGACGTAGGCATGTACGTTGGAGCCTCGGGCTCTTCATCGACCTCGTTTTCACGCATTCGTTTTTTTGTTACTCTCAATTATCGCCTCGTCGTCCATTTCTTCGGTTACAATAACACGTGCATCGCTAGATATATGGTAGTCCTGAAGAGTTAAGTTGCTGGGAACCGCACCTTGCTCGCAAAGCTGCTGCCAGGAGTCGGCGATGTGTGCGGATGGTCCCGTGGACTCCTCATTGCCGTCTTCATCGGTGCATTCAATTTCTTTGTCCGAAAAAACGCCGGTTTCTTTAATGCCAGCCTTTCTAGAACAGTTCGCAATAATGGCTTGGCTGGTAGAGTCCCACGATGCAGAGAGCATTTCCACGGCAATGAAGACATCAATGTTCGTGGCTCTGTTGAGGTGCATGTTCGATAAAAATTTTTGTATCATGCGCTTGCGATATGAGCACCTCACACTGTTGATTACGCCTTGATCCAGTGGTTGTATCAGCGACGTACAGTTAGCAGGAAAGAATTGCAATTCAATGTTCGGTAGCACTAGGTCCTGAACATGATGGGCCGAACAATTCTCTAAAAGTAGACAGATTTCCCTCTTTTGCTTCTGCATGTCCTCATTGAGCTCGGTTAGCCAGTCGCTTAATAAGGCGCGTGTCATCCATGCCTTGGTATTAGACACATACTTTTCGGGCACTCTCTTGCTGCCTTTGAAGCACTGTGGCTTGTCACTCGTCCCGATCACCAATGGAACCCGTTTGTCGCTTCCGTCCATATTTGCACATAGCAACACTGTCAGGCGTTGCTTGGACTGTTTACCGCCATGGCACTTTTCGTTTTTTAGTGCGAGGGTTCTGTTTTGCACCGGCTTAAAGAAAAAGGCAGTTTCATCGGCATTGTAGGTGTCGGCGACGTCGTAACGTGCCAAAATATCCAATATGCGATCACATGGCCAGTCAGCAGCTCCGATTGCGTCAACTGCAGCAGACTCGCCACTCACTACCTTTCCGACGGTGCTGTGCCGATCTTTAAATCGTTGCAGCCACCCACTGCTGGCTTTGAAGTCATTGCATCCAAGTATGCATGCAAAGTCCCGGGCTTTTCGTTGAAGCAGCTCTCTGCTCAAAGGCACGTTCTTAGCCCGCATGTCGGTAAACCAAGTAAACAGGGCCTTTTAGACGTCGACGTACGCAGCAGTCTTCAGGTTCTTTTTTGCTGTACTTGAACCACTGGCACTTACTGTGGCTATGATGCTATCTTTTAATTTCAAGATCGTGGAAAGTGAACTCTGCGAAATACCATACTTCTCGGCAACCGTCTTTTTCTTTTTGCCATTCGTCACTTCGGTGATTATTTTCGTCTTGATGTCGAGAGCTAGAACTTTCCTTTTGTGCGGAAGGCCACTCATTGTTCCAGAAGGAAGCCCACAACCACTCGATGCACGAAACAATATTTGTTGTTCATTAGGCGTAGGTGCACGTAATGGCGGACTTTTTTCCCACGAGAGGCAGAGGCTCTCGTCATCATCTTCACCACCAGCACCGGTGTGTGCTTTTTTTTATTTTGTGAAAAAGATAATGTCTGCACATTTTTATGTTAGTTTTCGAAGATAAAGTTTGTTGCCGATAATTTTTTTTCTCGCGGAAGCCGTGCAAATGCGATTTCCAAGGGCTTCGTTAAATCGAAACTGCGGCGCATAAGTACTTTGCTAAATTGAGAAATAAAATGCACTGTCTTCAATGAATGCAAAATAGGGAGACATAAAAAAATTCGTTAAATCGAGATTTTCGTTAGATCAGGGTTCGTTAGATTAAGGTTCAACGGTAGCTAGGATTTCTAGTTTTTGCCAAATACCGAGAAACCTCAGAAAACTAACCCTCGAGCGAGTTTTCTCAAAATGAAGGAAAACCGAAAGACTCTGAATTAGAGTTGCCCTTTGAGGGAAAAACCCAGGCTTTGCAAAAAGAAAATCTCTACCTACAGCTTTATTCTGCGTTTACCCGAAACACGGTCCGAGTGAACCATCTGTGAGGTTACTTCTTTCGCTCTTGTATCTTTCTCTTATGGAACTGGGTTGGGTATCTCTAATGTGTAATGCCTGTTAAAGACCCCAGGCTAGCGGCGGTACTGCACTGGATAAATTTCTTGTCCACTGTGGAGACACCATGCTCCCATGTGCCCTACCTGGTGTCTAAACATACACACAGCCAAATTTAGCAGGTCGTTTTTCAAGCATTTGGGTCACACGTATCCTGCTGCTCGAGGAATCCCATGCCCGTGTCCCATTCTCTTATTATTGTGAGCCCCGATAAACGCCGATTTCATGGTCCGACGCCGAAAGACACTGAACCTGCTAGAGAAAATAAACCTCTAAGGAGCACCCTCGAATTTGAACGAACCTCGAAAACCCAGAACCCCAATTACAGCCTTCGCTGTAGTCCGTGCTAAGGCGAGACAAAGCATGGACTGACTTTCGTTCCTTCCCCGGGGGCGTCTCTGCGCAGCCGTGCGCACGAAGGAGCAAGGGTGGGGCACCGCCTGAGCCGTGGTTCTGTTGGCAGCTCGTTTTCAGGAGCAGTGACCGGAGCCCCGACCCTGGCCGGGTCCCAGGGGCAGCTGTCCCTCCCCCAGGGGCCCAAGAAGGAGCCTCCTCCTCCCCCACCTCCCAGGCCCAAGCGCAACCACGCTAGGAGCTCCTCCCTCGACCTCAACCGGCTCGGTGAGGCAACACTCTTGGCCGACGCCGGAGCCACCGAATGCGCTATGCTTAAAGAGGCGATGCAACAATTTTAACTTCGAAAGAATGTGCAGTTTTCAGTTTTTACATTGTTTATCTTACAAAAAGGAACAAAGAAACCGCCTCATTATTTTGAAATATTGTGATTCCGTCGAGTAACAGCAAAGCAAAAAACGAGAATATTTCGCGATTTGCAGCTGCGGGGGGGCGGCCATGGGAACTAATGTGTGATGCATTCCTGGGGACATTGTAATTAGTTCGCAAGATTTGCCATTATGCACTCAATATAATGCTACATTTTATAAATATTGTTTGAATATTTATAAAAAAAAGTCGACAGGAATATATTTATATATATTCCTGTAAACTGCGCAAACTTTTTTTTTACATTTTTTTTGTTTTACATGAGCACGTGAGCTCACGAGCACGAGCACCAGCAAGATCGATGTGAGCACGGACGCCGGACGGACAAGGCTAGACCCTAAGGAGCTTCACCCCTAAAAAACTATTCCTCCCTTGAGCCTCACCCCGTTGTGCTAATACGTCAGTCGAACTTCATTACGGAAAGGCAAGCTCGTTGCTCTCCCCCACTCCAGCTCGGACCAACCTTCAAGGTCGCCACGTGAATAGCAAGCAGAGGCTGTGCGCACTGGAGGCTCTGAAGGAGAACCTAACCGGATTTTCCTCATCCCCGTTGCGCGTCGCTTCACATGGGACTCTGAACACGGTGGAAAGTTAACAGTGCTTTGGAGGCGCCCAAAGCATTAATTGTTTGACTTTTTTTTTTCTAAAGGACTAACGTGCATAGTCAAAACTGGTCACCAGTTGTTTAATCCAGATGTGACAGGGAACAACTACTACAATTATTTGATTGAGGTCCAAACATTGTTGCATGGCCCCTTCCTTTAAAGGGCAGCTCTGCTTCATTTTTGTCTTTGAAAAAAGAATGCAGTCCTCTTCAGTATCAAATAGGGAGACAACACGTCAAATTTTATGACGTAGTTCTGTCTAAATGTTTCTTAAACGGTTCGGCAAACTTTGCAACTCGCCAAGTTGCCGGAATCGGCTGACTCGAGCAGGCGAATTGAGGCGCAACCAACAACGCAGTCAAGGCTACGGCGGGGGCATAGCCAACATTGAGCTAAATGTCATCACCATTGCTCCCTTTTTCTTGTTTTTACTTCTCCGGGAAAGTGTAACGGGCGACATCAGCAATGCTTCCTTTCTGTGCTCGACGGTGGCCACATGATTGGCGTAATGCGCCAGTGCAGCGCGCTTCTTGGGAGCCGTCCAGCTGCCCCGCCATGGTCCTGCCGTTATCGCCATCTCCCGCATCACAAGTGCCGTCGTCGTCTTACCGTTTGTGATTATTGTCTCTCGGAGCTTCGTCCACATCACGGACAGCACGTGCGCAGACTTATGCCACAGTTGTGCATACATCGTTGAATATAGACACCAAAACATGGTGAAGAGTGCAGTGTAGTCGACAGTTGCGCCTGACACACGCTTGACCCAATCCCGCTTGTCGTTGCATAGAGGATCGTGTGACATCTCGTACCACGTGATAGCCATGTTCTTGGCGGCCCAAGGCCAATGTTGCTGGATGGAGCCGAAGTTTCTGTTTCGATTTCTGCTCGTGTTTAAAATTAGATTTAAAAATATATATACCATTTTTCGCTAAACAAATGACACAGTGTCTTTTACTAAGGCTTTTAGGGGCAAAGCTCCTTAGGGTGTAGCTTTGTTCGTCCTGCGTCCGTGCTCACATCGATTGCCATCCCATCTGTCTTCTTAAAAAAAAGAAAAAAATGTTTGCGCAGTCAACAGGATTCGAACCTGTGCGAGGAGACCCCAATGGATTTCTAGTCCATTGCCTTAACCACTCGGCCACGACTGCGGGACAAGTAGGGGGCTCTGAGACGTGGTAGTAACTCAAGAGCTGGGGATGTCATGGATGAAACGTTGCATGTATCCGCTCGACGTCTATACAGGAGTATAGACGTCGATATATACACATCTGACTATGCAGTCAAATGTGTATATAATCGCGTTAAACGTTGCATGCATTGCCTCAACGTTTATAGACGAGAGAGCGCTGCGGTCAAATGCTCAAATGTGTATATAACCACGTTCCATACCACACATTCTATTTCTGACATGGTAAAAACTAACGTCATCAGCACCACCAGAGCTTCGCCCCAATCAACACCATTCACCACGTGGAGATGCGGTCATTTTTTTTTTAATGTGAAATCACTCACTATCTTGAAATCCTTGGAATTGAGCAGAGTTGCTGGTTCACATGTTTGCGTCTGACTGTGCAGAGTCCATTGTGTAACATCTTGTAACCACGTAACACGGTGGAATGCTGGCGTCTTCCGTCTAATAGACGTGGGACATTTCCAACCTGCATTTAACCAGACTGGAGGTTTTGCGAGACCAAATCCGCACACTTTTTTTTAAAAACAGTCGCCGATCACGTGTCGAAATAATTTCGAGCTCACGTTCAAAGAATTATGCTAAAAAAACTATTGAAATATATGCACGGGTAGAGTCGCATTCGGGACTCCCCAATTGAGCACGCCAATGTGCCAGCCTGGTACGAGAGATTGCAGCACGCTCGGCATTGCCAAACATAAATGCGTGAACCTGCCATTATTGGGTGTTGTAACTCCGTTCCTCGATTTTATTTTGGGTGCCGCCATTTTGGGGCTTCGTGCCGGGCAGGCGAGACTGGCGTTCGTGACAGTGCGAGCCTCAGGTACAGTGACAGTAAGCTCAAGCGACATTGTTTTGCTTTGATGCTGACTGTGCGACGCTTTTGATGGTTGCCAGTCCTTGTTGAACCAACATGCGGTAGGGATGGGGTGCAGTTACACCGACATGCCTGCGGGGATTGGAGGTGGAACAGCTCAAGAGATGGATCCTACTCCTTCTAGCTTGTTGGTGACTGTCACTTTGAAAATGGCTGTGGAGCAGAGTGAAAAACGCACCTTGACCCCGTGGCAATCTCTTCCTGCGCTCTAGGGAAGTCAAACCCCCAGAACCTCGGAGCACCGCCCGCAGTTCCTCCGAGGGTGTCACCTGGAAATGTTAGTACTATGTTCTCAACTTGCCTGTTACGTGGTGTTTAGTGCGAGAAAATTCATGCAAAAAAAACTTTTGCCGTTCAAACTATTTATTTTATTTTCGGGAAGGTTCAGGTATTTGTTCAGTGTAGGCACTGCATTTAGGGATAATTAACGAAAAAGGTGTGCCCACCATGCAGGTAAAATCAAAGAGGAGTTTCATCTTTACTCATAAAGTGAGGTGCAGCTTCAGCACATGTGATAGCACATGTCATTGCAGCACTCTTTTTTACCGTAATAGCAGCTACGGAAGTTGAGAAACTCTCTGCTTCAACTAAAACTGCACATGCATGCTCCCACTGTCAGATTGAAAAGCGTGAAACAACCATTGTATTTCAGTCTATACCCGCTTTACTCCAACTGCATATCCTTCTTTTCATCGAGCATGTGTAGGAGGTTTGCAATCCAAATGGACAATTTCATGTATGTGCAGCCTACTCTTAAATTAGAAAGCAGTTGTACACATAGGCTACAAGCAAAACATGTCTCGATCATATCTGATGAACCGTGAGTCTAGACTCGCAGAATGTGGTGGGAATGAGCTGGGTACATGCTATGCGTGAAGTCTTGAGGTCCCGTGACACTGTGAGGTGAAGCGACTTGATGTCAAGTTTGGGTGTCGTGACACCTCGACGTCAAGGTCATATAACCAATATAGTCCCTATGGGGCTTTATTTCTTAATGTATGACCTGGTCCTGCGTGTCGGCCGAGCGTAACACGTCGCTCCTCCTACGAATTACAGCCCTATAGCACATTCAGTGTCAAGGCACTCACAGACCTAATTTACTCATACTTGAATTCGGGCTTAGGAGGTAGCTGGAGGAGATTCCTCGGAGGCTGTAAGTATTTCTGCGATCACATTTGCTGAGCAACGGGAACAAGTCGGCGTACGTGCCCGGGAATGGGGGGGTGGAGCGTTTTAATGGGGGGTGCTCACTTCCAGGTATCCAAGAGCATCACCGGCGACGTGCCGTCGGGAATGGACTTCGCCGACTTCGACCATTTTGCGGAATCTCGCAGCGACGTTGCCGCCGGCCCACCGTCGCAACATCAGTTTCAAGTGAGGTCGCGATTGTAAATGCGATCCAGTGCGTGGATTTTTAGTCTCAGTTAAATTGTCATGTGCGAGGAGGGGACAAGCGTGCTTGTCCCCTTCGGAGTGCAAGCAAAGGCTTGCACTGCAGAGCCCAGGGGTCCTGGGTTCAGTCCCCACCCCCCACTATTTCAATCTGGATGAGCTTTGTGCTGGCATGTGGCTGTACATCCCTAATAGGTGATACACCTTAAAGGGGCCCTCCGGAGCTTTCTGCGATCGTCTGTTTATGCTGTTATATTGCGTAGTAGGTGCAAGTTAATATGTATACAAAGTTTTAGAATACAAAACCGTTTATTAAGCAGATGGCAGTAGAAATATATCGGGACTATTTTCTCTTGGAAGACAATCCCCCATTCCCTGCCCATCGCTAAAACTTGACCAATGGAAATGCTGCATCTCGCGGTGAATGCGAACGTTATTATTGCAACACTTTCTAAGCTTGTTGTAAATTAGAGTTTGAGAAAAGAAAATAGAAAATAAAGAAAAACACCATAAAAAAAAAAAAAATACGCATGCAGGAGGGAATTTTTTTGTTGTATTTTTTTGCATGTTTATGACTACAACTTACATTGTTTTAGACAACAACAAAAATACAACCTTTTGGGTGTCACTTAGCATTTTAATGTAATTTTCGTGCAAGGAAAGTGACCATAATTTATTCTGACAAAAACCAGGTTGACGTACAAGGTGAATACACGTGCCGGCCAACAAACAAGAAGCCGGCGGGAAGAACCATGATGAAAACATAACATTTATTTTAGTTGCTTTAATTCGAACGAAATCCTTTGTTTTATTGCCCTTATTGCTGATTTCGTCAATCACAATTTTTTTTATAATTCAATCCCCAAAGCCTGTGTTGCCGAAAGTAATCCCTGGATAAGGGGAACAAGAGGGACAAAGGACAAACGCAAATCTCCAAACACAGCTAGGTGACTGGTGCGCGACCAAAAAAATTTGCCTGGCCCGGGTGTCGAACCTGGGACCTCTCCATTTCCAGTGGAACGCTCTACCAAGTGAGCTAACTAGGGGTTAGTAGACGTCAGTAGAGCAAACAGGTTTTATCAGCTACTGCCAGTCTAACACCAACAATGGTGAAAGGCTTGCATTTTAAGGTTATGATTATAATGCAATTAAATGCAAAGGTGCAAGCGAGCGGGACAAGAATGACAACGCGCACCAGTCACCTAGCTGTGTTTGGAGATTTGTGTTTTTCCTTTATCCCTCTTGTTTCCCTTCTTCAGGGATTACTTTTGTCATTCTTGTCCAACTCGCTTGCACCTTTGCATTTAATTGCATTATAATCATAGCCTGTGTTGTTGTTTCTTATTCTAGTCAATCCAGCTTAGTCACGAGCAGAATTTCTGAATATTTTCATCCGTGGTATTGTTGTATAGAGTAGTTTTGTATTTTGCTAACTTGACTGAAAGAATTGATTATGTTTGGTAAACAGCGACTTGAAACATGTGCATTTCCTTCCGATTAAAAGTGTAATCAGCAAAGGTTGTGCTCTACTTCACACAATGCCATTGTTTCTTGAAATGGTTTTGTTTTGGGGACGTGCAATATACAATTTGGTTTGATAAATAGACACATTGTTTTGCTTCCAAGAGGCTCGAGCTGTGCTTCTTTTGTCGGCCATACAGGGAGCCAACCCGCTACCAGAACAGTCTCCTTGTTTCTAAGTTTTCTGGCCTCTCTCTCGATGTGTGTTCAGCTGGTTCCATCCACAGGCATGACTCAACTTGCTCAGCTCCATCCCTTCATTAGTTCTCAATTGCTGTCATTCACATAAATTACAATTATGACCGTTATGGGCTGAACTATTTCGAAACTAAGGGTATTTCTGAAAATGATTGGGGGACATCCCGGGAAGATACTTTTTCGTCGTGCTAGTTTTAGTGTTTGGAAAATCACGTGTGCTTATTAGTCCTTTTTTCATGGGTGACCAGCTCCAAAATTTACTTCTATTGCTACAAAACTCTACCTTTGCAGCTGCCGAGCTGCTCAAAAGCAGAACTTTTACTGCTCCAAAGATGCTCCAGAGTGGCACTTTTGCTGCTCCTAGACCTGCTACAAAAGGCTGAAGCCTGCTTCCATCCCTGCCTTTGACGTTCTCGGGAGTACCCATGGTGCCCATGGTGAAAGAAAAATGCGTAAAAAGATGTTAATTATACGTGGATCAGAAATATTCCCAAGCCACCCATAGAGGACGCCAGTGTGGCCTCTCGTCGCAAGAAGTCTTAAGCAGTTGCTGCGCATTTTTTCACGCTCAAGTGCAAATCTACACACCAGACTTTAGACTGTCGAGACCACGGTCATAACAGTTCCATGGATGTTAAATGCTGCAAATAATGTCCAGTAGCAAGCTCTACCTACTTTACTAATTGTTTACATACTAAAGTGGTATTCAACTATTTTTATAATTGCACAACCTTAGCTATTTCGTACATATTTCAGAGGGATTGAAAATGTAGACACCATCATTTTAACAATCCAGATGTACACTGGAAGGGTCTCCTAGACAAAAGAGCTCCTAAAAGCAGCTTGATGGGGTCTGGGAGCCTGTCAGGCTCACTACTTCTAGATAGTTGCATACTCCTTCTCACTAGAGAGGTTTTGTGTTGATCCTGACAGTTGTGGTTCATTCTTTGTTTTCCAGCCTGGAGCATTTGAAGTGTATAAAAAGCCAACCTCGGCCGAAGAACGTGAGAACTTGATTGTTTGTTTCACTACTGTTTCTGTATTCCAGTCACACTATAATTAGTGCCTGGCTGATATTGAGAACTGCAGAGATTCCCAATTTTAAACTTGCTCATTTCTTTTGCAGTTGCAGCGTCTCCCTTTTTATCGGAGTCGAGCTACTCTGACGACGAGGTAGGAATCTTTTCTTGCAGCCTCGCTGGTTGGAGTGCGCCTGAAAACTAACACCACCGCCATTTTCTGGAATTCCTATGACTATACCAGTAAAAAAAAATAAAAAATCTTGCGACCACTTCCTACCCTGCCCGGAAAGGCATCCCAGCTGGCGCCGTGACTGATTTATTTCCATGTAACCGGCAACAGATCAACATTTAGTAGACACCTGTGCTGTGGTGTTAAGGTTAGGGGCGGTGTACACTGCGCAGCCCAGTTCGTGCAAACATGACATCAGCTTTTTCTTTTAGATTTTACACTAAGCTCATTGAAGTGCAAAAATGTGCAGCTCCAATATGCAATGGGTGGACGAATGATGTAGATAGCTAAACTCTCCAGTCGGGCGGCATCTGACGCCACCTAGCAGTGGGTGGTGCAGCCAGCACAATTGCGTATGGCTTCGACCAGTTTTATTTATCGGTTGCGAATATGATTTAAAAGCAAATGAACTGCGTTTTTCATACATGGACCTCTGTGCAGCATGTTTGGACCATGAAAGTGACTTATCAAAAAGTTTGAACTAACAAGGTGTCAAAAAATTAGCTTTCATTCTATTAGTTTTAATGACAGCCTTTCGATGCTGAGGGGAAAACAAGAAAATCTGGTGATTGCCTGTTTGTGCTAACCTTTTTGTACTTTGTATGGGCAGTTGTACTGTGTGAGTGGTAGTCAGAATGAAGTAGTGCTGCGTTATCCATAACCTCCGTAGTGTAAGACGTATCATGCTATTTCGGCTTGCTTTACATGGTGAAAGCTAGAATAGCACTGCAATACTTGATTCGAAACACCACTTGCGACACTGTCCAGTTATTCTGACACAGTGCTCACTTTTTCGCATGCAGGAGTCTAGTCCAGCTCCGACAGATGACAGTGCAATGTTGCTAGTCGACCAGACAGACGGAAGTGCCGAGAAAAAGAAGCACCGCACCGCTCCCCTAGCCATGGCGGCCACCGAAATGAAGTGAGTTGAAGGGTCTGACCGATGCTATCTGATCAAAGGCAGGAACTGTTCCATCTGTAGTTCTCGCACCTGTTTTTCTGGAAGGCAGAAAGCCAGTAGCTTTTATCTGTGTGCTTTTGACACGGCCACTGGATCACTGAGCTTGTGCTTCTCGTATGGTCTGGTGCAAGGCAGATGTTGCTAGTGAAGCTTGTGGGAGGAGCTGTACGAACATCCTCACTATAGGAAGTTACAGGTCAAGAAGGTAGCAGAAAATGCCCCTCAAAGGGATTCATATATACTTCCGCACCCAATAGCGTCCCATCGTTTCTGTGACGTCGCGGCCAACGCAGGGGGAGGGTCTTGCCTTCTTGTAAATATTTGCCTTATCTTTCGACTTTGACCTTAGCGTTCTGGAAGCCACGAGAGGGAGATTAGAGTTTTCCCCCTCCGATGAAAACAAATACGACTTTCAGGGGTTAGGTTCCCCCTCCTATGGACAGAAAGGCTACTTTCAGGGGCTCGGTTCCCTCTCCGATAAATACAAAGGTCTCTTTCTTATAAAGTGGGGGTTGGAGACAAGTTGGGTATCACTCTGTGGCCATTATTTATCCATTGAAGCGGAACAAGGGGCGTTTCCAGTGAACTGTTCTTTAGACTGCGGATTTGAAACCGGTGCATCACGCTTGTGGGAGGAGCTTCTCTTACCTTGTTGACTTGTAATCGAATATAGAAACGAGAAGGATGATGTTCGTTGTTTAAACTTGCCAATTTTATGGTGTCACTATCTACTCATCATGCCAGTGTCATGGAATATTGTGACCTTTAAGTAAATGTCATTACAATGTAATGTTGTCATTCATACGTAACGGGATAAAATATTTTTTTGTGTGTTCAGAGATACCTGAATTGTTTGTCAGGGAGCACGTGACCTTAGTAAGATGGGATAAGAGGCTACAGACACTCGTTGCACGCAAACACTGCATTTAGACCATACAGCGAGCAGAGAAAATGTTGAAATGGTTACCGTTACATGATTCTTGCAGAAGATTTATTGCATTTCGAGGTACCAATATAAAATCGTAGTTGAATAGCGCATGCCTGTAGATGCACAGTTTCCACAATATAATGCAGTTGCCATATTCAGGCTGAGGCATGTTTGCATATGTACACAAGCATGAACTAGCTTTGTTCTTCAGCATAAACCAACATCACTACCTGGATGCCCAGGCGGCATCGTTAACTTTTGAGCACTAGCTGTCCTGCAGCATCAACCTGAATGCTTTCCAGAGTTTTTAGTTGTCGCAGTTACAACGCTCAGTTTACCGAACAAAGTATGTCGGCGAGCCAAACTCTCTACGACGGTGAAAGTATGGTGTACGTTTTAGACCGGTGTGTTTAGCATCCCGTACCCCTACCGCATCAAAAATGGTCCCGAAGTGGTGACAGATTACACCACCAGATGCAGCGTGTCGTGCCGCGGGATGTCGTGATCCTGGTAACCAACCATAGAAGTCCCGCAAAAAAAAAAAAAAAAGAAGACTTAAGTATTGCTGTTGTCACAGCGGCATGACACTTCTAACGACATCATCAAGTGGAAATCGAGAGACCACATTTGAAGACACGATAAACACCAGACAGACGCGCGCTTCCGGCACCGCATGGAGGCAGGAAGCTTCTGGAAGCATCGTGTCGCCTACGGGAACTTCCTACCTCCATGGGGCACCGTAGTGAAAGGACGCTCGTCCAGGCCGGGAATGGAATGCGGGATGTGCATCTCCACCGCAGGACCATTCCGAACGAAAAATGGGAGCTGCACCAGGCAGTGCGGGCTCACCGAGAGCGCAACAACATGCTGGTGCTGCTCAACAGCGAGCTGAACCAGGAGCTGATGGAGGCCACCGAAGAGCGCCTCTCCCTCGAGATACAGCTAGAGAACCTCAAGCCGTTCTCCTGCTGATGGACGCCAGTCTAGAACCGTTGCCGTTGTTGCTGCTGCTGCTGCCAGTGGACGGGCAGTTTCGGCTCTTTCCTTATTTTTTTTATTTTTGCTTTTCTCTCCATCCTCAAAATTTGCCGAGTCCCGTTTGGAATCTGTTTCGTGTCGAGCGGCATGAGGTGCAAAGTCAAATTTGGGCGAGCCTCGGTCCGGCGGGCGTATATTTAAATGGAACGAAGAAATAAAGGCTCCGTTGCTCCGGTTTGCAATGTTTTTCTTTAATGTTCAGATCTGTTCACTAAGGCTAATGCTTTTTTCTAACATTTTTTCTAGCATGGCTCAGAGGTCGGCTTTTTTAGAGCTGCGATTAATGAGGCTTTATTCTGTCGATTTTTAGAAATGTGCCAGTTTTGAACATAGATTGTGGGTTAAGTGTGAGGTCTTTTTTGTTTTGTTTTTGTTGGCCAACTTTCTCAGATTGGTCTGTCATTGCTGACATTAAATTAAGCTGGCTCCAAGCCTATGTTCATGCAATCGTAACAGTCGGGTTTATTTGAGAAAGTTAAAGTTCCTGACTTTTTCAGCCTTGGTCTGAATGTCTTCTGTTGTCCCTTTGATTGGCGGGACAAATGTGAAAAATGTCACCTTTTTATGTTGTGGTAAGTGTGCTCAAAGTGAAGTAAAAGAATGCTGCATCATTTGTTACCTCAATAGCACATAGGGGGCAGGAGCTTCTTTTCAGTCTGCTGTGGGGACCGTGAGCGGCACAGTGCCATTGTATACCATCTGCATGCACCTATTTGTGATTATGATGCATTGGATGGATTTGCTGTTTGGCTTTGTTTACAAGTTTGCGTTCGTAAGTCGTAATAGACTAGTTGATCACTTGGGAGTTTGACATGCAAAAACCAGCTTTGCGTAGGCTTGTTTTTTTTTTTACCTCAGAGACATAATGCCAGTCTGTCTGTATGAAGTATATATATTGTCCGTTATGGCATAAGTTGCTAAGCAAGAAACGGTCTTCATTTCTACCAGAGGTTGTATACATACCATGTGTCTTGCAGATATATCAATGGTGGCAGGTATTGCAAATGCTTTGGGTTTTTTTTTTAATGTTATTTGGAGATTACACATCGCAGGCACCTTTTCCATCCACAAACCAGTCATGAGATTATTTTGTTTAATATAGTTGAATTGGATCATTTCTTACATATCTTCCTAACTGAAAAAGCATTTTTCTGGCTCTTTAAACTCCCTCTCACATTGTGCCCAGCACATGGGGCTGTAACTCCGGAGAAGGATTTTTTTTTGTGTGTGAACGCTTGTGCAAGGAAAACATTTCCTAAAGCTATGTGCCTGTGGAGTGTTGCAGGGACGTAGTGTAAAAGCTTTTAAGCTAGAGTGATTGAAGGGCTGTGGGCAAGAATCTTTAAATTGTGAAAATTAAAGTTAGTCTGTGATTTCGGTTTATCTAGTTAAGGTAAAGCTGTTGTGGAAATGTAAGGCATATCTAAGGGTAAACATGCGGAATTTAAGGGAGCTTCTGAAATGGTGCACAACATGGCTCAAGCACTTGGAAAAGAGAAGCATATCTCATTCATGGCTTTTGCTGTTATGGAATGGTTCAGCTCTTAGTGGGACTTCTCAACCATTAGTTAAGAAACATCTTTGATCCCCCATTAAGTGGGCATAATAATTAATGTGGCTTACAATATCCTGAGTGTAACAGCGTTTGAAGCAACTGTTTCATGGTCCTGTGGTGACCCTCTGTGGTTTCTTTGGGGGATGTTGGATCTATGCGGCTGATCCTTCTATCTTATGAAAGCTATAAACGTCAACATGAAACATAAGTTCTTTTTGCTATAGCAATATGCTCACTGTTGAGGGAGATTAATGCACATAAAAATCCTGTAGCCATTGAGAAAAGGAGAGTTAGCTTGGTTATCCTATGCTTCTGCACGATTACATTCAGACATTGAAAGGAAACGGCTTAAAAATTTTACGATACATTGAATGAGTAATGTAAATCTTGTATAAAGGTGGTTTTAAAGCTTTGCTGAAAATGTATTTTACAGTGTTGGGTATGCCACTCATTCTTGAGCATGCTATTTTTGCCTTGTTCTGATTCTAACATACACAAAAGTATATCAACTGTTTCACCTTGCAGTAGTACTGGAACCAAATCTACAGGCATGCACGTCTCGTTCTGGTAGGCGTTTCCACTCGAGCAGCCGAGGTGCGCTTTAAACCTAGGTGGTCGCACTGCAGTTTTAATTCCACTAGTACTGCCAGAAGATTGAAACAAGAATACACGAGTTCAAGCAGAACATCTGGCCGCCTCTGTGTGTGCTCATGTGAGCAAGCACATGTGATTGCAAGCCTGCCAAGGTTAGTTTCATGTGGATGCAGCTTGGGCTTGCACGTTTGGGGCACCAGCCGAGATGACATGCTTGCAATTGTTCATAAAGGTTTCCTTGTGTTTGTATCATCTGCTTTCAAGGAATGAAACTAATCCATATATTGAGTGGTATAAAACTGAATAGATGTTTTGTTTCTTTTTCATAATAGTCGAACCATGCTGTCGCTTTCATTCAGAAAATAATGCAGCATTTATGCCATTTGTAGTTATTACTTTTGTTTCTGTAAGGAGTTTCATAATGGGGCGCCTTCGAATTCATAATTAGTTCTGCTTGAATCACGCTGGATAGAGAAATAACAAGGAACCTGAAGCTGTTCATCAGATAGCTAAAGGTCCAATGTCGAACTAACTTTTCTTGAGAAAGGTTTTCTAGAAGTTTTGCCCACAGCCCTTGTGACTAGATTCCACAGAAATGCCAAACATGTTCTTGATTTTGGAACTCGCCACTGTACTGTGAAGTTCCGATGATGTGCAATGCGCTTGTTGCAGGCATTAGCAGCTCGTTGTGTAAGTTTGGCAGTTTGTTTTTGTCTGCTTTGCGCGTTTGTTTTTCTTTGGTTGGAATGTATTTTTGAACAAGTGTTTTGCACAAGTTTTGAAGAGGACTGTTCTCAGAAAAATATATTGACAGAGGTCTTTTCTGACACAATTTCTAAACATTGCTTCAGGATTTAATTTTGGTTCATAAAGAACAATATAATGCCATCTGGAAAGAGTGCTGGCAAGGTTCAGTCAGCTATTTTGAATGTCTCGGAGAAAACAGAGGAGCTATTTTCTTTCTTAGGCCCGACTTGCACTTGGAGGCTGTCATCTGACCATGCTGATATAAGCTGTTAGTATTTTAATGGCAGTAGGAGAATGTTGCTGCCTAAAACGGTTCAGCTCTTTTTCTACATGTTTCTTTTACCTCCATTTCTATTTCAGAATTAACATTTGTCTGAGACTTGTTCAACTGTTGTGTTACTATTTTTTGTGTCTAACTAAGAAAACTGAAACAATATGGACACGGATAAGCACCTCCGTACCTTATTGCTGGAACGCGAAGGATGCAGCCGAGTTGAGTGGCATCTTCATATACACCTCAATATGCGCTTACCATTCTCTGATGAGAGTAGTGATATGTACATATTAGACATGTAAAAAAAAAAATGAAAATGCAGAAGCTGTACAAAGGCTCGAATATATATAGCATATATGCAATACGCCTGTGTGCATATATGGTGTATGACGGTATATATGTATAAATATTTTGACTTACATGAGGCACTAAAGTGGTGCCTTGTTGTTGTCATATCCACGGCAGCTTGTTAACCGATGGCCCTTTGAAAGAGAGAAAGATGTGTTTTGAGGCGTTATTTAGGAGTATATTTTGATAGGATTGGATGTTTCAGGGTCCACTTTAATGTAGTCAAGGCGTCGAGCACCAGAAGTTTGCTCTTAGTTGGTTGCCACAGTTGGTTCTTGAATCTGTGTTTGTGTAAAACTTGTAGCTTTTCTTTTTTTCTTCAATCTTGTTTCATTGTTGAGGAATTGTGTGCTTGTTGTGAGCGTGGCTGAAAGATTTGTATAGGCGTTGGTCGACTTGTTGGTGTGCAGAGGACAATAAACGAGCCTGAAAGTATGTTGTTTCCTTGCACACATGCTGACTGCGTTGTGTTGGTGGCACAGTAGACCGCTACGCACAGCAGGCACGTTTAGCACTGATCTCACCTAACTGTAGTGGAGTGGTTACGTTGTTTCGATTAAGAGGATGCTGAAGTTAATTTTTAAGTTATGGTTTGGGTAGAAATCCAAACATCACTTGCCAGGCATGTTTTAACGTGCTCCCTGTCGGAGGCTTGGTTCGAGGATTCCTTTGTAGGAAGCTCAAGGTAACAAAGACTGCCTCTAGGAAGGAGGGGGGACAAGCGACTGTACGAATTTAGGGGCGAAAGATGAGGCGCAATGGGCACGAAAGCCATGTTGCGCGAACTCAACCTAGGTCACCGTAGCCCAATGGAGCCCATAGGATCTTGCTTCGTTGTTCCAATACAAATATTGCTTCTTATTGCTACAAGCCCGCGTTTATCCACACTGGGTGTGGGCACTGCACGTGCGCAGCGTGAGGTGAGGCGTCTGCGCCGTTCTGACAGCAGCGGCACCTCAGTGCCGTGACGTCGGAGACGAGTGGGTGTGCGTACAAGAACCCTCAAACTGGGAATTTGGAAAAAGGGTCGATTCTACCCTTTTCCGAATTCCCTACTAGAATACCCCAAGGTGACGGTCGCTCAGGCAAGAGCGTTCCCGTGGGTCATGCGCTATCTCGCACTCCAGAACTCGAAAGGAAGAAAATGCTAAAATGAAATGGACAGATTGAAGAACCTTTTATCGCACTCTGGAGATACTCTTCAGTAGTAAATCGAAACACGATCCTTTATATTATTTAAGGATTTATGTTATCTCCGTTTAATGTAGAGCTCAGTGTGGAGATTGGGGTTGCAAAAATATTGGGAGTCGTTCCAATTTATGGCTGATGTCCATTTTTGTGGGTACTTGCTTTTCTAGCTCTGGAGTGCAAGTTGGTGCTGCTTCCAGCACCGTACCACACCTCCCCTTCTAGCCCACCACAGTATTGATGCCACAGGCAGCATTTTTGTTTTAGATTTAACGCTAACTGGCATTAAGGCTGCGGTCCCACGGCAGCCATCTTGAACAAGGCGTTAGTTCAACCAATAGATGGCGACACGCACCCGTGGGGTGGCCGAAACATTGGTTCACAGTGGGATGGCTCGAGCACCATCACGTTCCCCTCGTGGCCTTGCTCGCGCCGCTGCCAGCTGTGCTCAGCTAGCTCAAGTAGCGTGGCCCAGAGCCTTTTATACTGGGAGAGTTCGGCGGTTCTTTGATCCAGCCGCCAGTCTGGCAGCACTGATCAAACAGTCTGGCAACTGTGCGCATCCGCCATGATGTGCCTTGCCGTCTAGCTTGATTGCACCTTTGCATTTAATTGCATCATAATTATAACCTTAAATTGCAAGCTTCACCCTTGTTGGTGTAAGGCTGGTGGCGGCTTATAAAACCCGTTTGCCCTACTGACTCGAGCCGGCAGTCGGCTCACTAGAGTCCATGGAGCGAGAGACGACGATGAAAATGATCGTTCTGCGCTGCGCTCTGCCAGAGGTTAGATGAAAAAGAAATGGGGGGCTGCAGTGCCGTTGGGTGCTCGAACAACGCGAAAAAGGGGTTCAGGATGTACCGGTTCCCGCAAGGAAAAGAAAACCGCGCAAGGCACAAGATCTGGGAAAGAAGAAGAAGAAGTCGCCGGGCTCGGATGTTGGTTTTTACCGTGGCGCGGCATTTTCGAAATGTTTAATGATTTCGCCGATTGAAGACCTTTTTCGACGTCCTTCTATCAACCCAAGACGAAGACAGCGCCTATGGAAGTCGCTCAACACCCTTCCGATATGCGCAAGGCAGAGAAATGGTCTATGGTGATCCCTCGCTCACCTGCATGCTCGCCTTGATTATTCAACGGCTGTCTTTGTTTTTTAAGACCGCTTCCGTGTGCCCGGGCGCAACATAATCGCTCAAGACTCACCACCAAACCACATCAGACCCAGCTCTTGTCAACGAAAGCTGTAGCGCCGTGGTTGAGCCTCATCGGGACCATCTGAGTTCGACGGCTTTGACGGGTTGAGCGTCATGGCCGCGCGTGTTTTTTCGCGCCTCCTCTTGTTCCTGATTTTCGCCACGTTTTTAAAGCTGCGGGTGGACTACCTCTCTACCCCCTCGACTCATGGAGACTCCAAGTACCCCGCAAACCGTCTACAGGACGCCTCGCATACCAGTTGGACCGGCATTTCCTCGTCTTTCTCCAGCTGGGTCACCGTTAGGGCTACTTTGACGAGGCCTAGCCGGCGTGGTCACTCTTCTTCGGCTGAACCAGTTGTATGTCGCCAAACATCCGTAAGGGACCTTACGAGCCACGCTCGTCGCCACCATATCATCTGGTGCCTTCTGCTCGCTGGCGATGTGTCGTCTAACCCCGGCCCGCAGCGTCCAGTCTGCGCCTGCTGCACGAAACGAGTGCGGGACAACCAAGCCGCGCTCTTATGCGACTCTTGCGAAGGCTGGTTTCACCGCGGCTGTGTCCACTTATCCTTGAGTGAATACCGTCGGTTGGGGTCTTCCAGCGACCAGTGGCTCTGCTTGGTTTGCTCACTGCCGCAGTTCGCTGACGACATCTTTGAAGTTTCTACACCCAACCGTCCAAACAAACCGGTACACCCTGGAGCAAGTTCGCCCGACACATCCCTGAGCCGCAAGACAACGGGCATTAATAAGACAGCAACATTCTGGTACAACAACTGCCGGAGTGTAAAAAACAAGATCCCGGACCTTCAGACGCTGGCGTCCTCGCTTCCACACTGCTCCACCATTCTGCTATCCGAGACGTGGCTCGATGCGAGTGTCGCCGACAGCGAGCTACTTTCTCTCGACGCTTACACGGTGTTCCGCAGGGACAGAATGGGAGAGGTGGCGGAGTTCTCATGGCGATCCCGACGAGTTTCCGCGTCAATCGCCGGCGCGACCTTGAGCATAAGGACCTTGAGGCACTCTTTGTTGAGTTCTTCCTTCCCCGTGGGACCATCCTCGTGTGTTGCGTTTACTGCCCGCCCTCTTCACGTGAAAAAGCCTACAGACTTCTCGACAGTTCCCTGGAGGCTGCTGCTTCAAAGCCTTACGTGAATACTCTTATCTTCGGCGACTTCAACTGCCACGTAGACTGGTGCTCCCACGAGGTTCCTGTCCCTCGTGACAACACGGACGATGTGCTCCTCGAGACCACGACTGCTGCGGGCCTGGTCCAGGTGTGTCAGCAGCCGTCGTATACGTCCCGCGAGGGTGTACCGAGTTTTCTCGACCTCGTCTTCACATCCGACGCAACACGCATAGAGCTTGTGGAGACTTCCGAAGGCCTCCACGGCAGCGACCATCTGGCCGTGGAGCTACGTTATGCAGTCTCCCTGCCCCGTACTGGGCATCACGCTCTTAGGTTGTGGAGGTTCCGGCAGCTGGACTTCGGGCACATGGCTCAGCTGGCCCACCTGACGCCATGGTGCATGACCACCACCGGTTCAGACTGGTCATCGAATTACGATCTCTGGTGTGATTTCATGTTCGCAATCCAGAAGGAGTGTGTGCCCTGCTCCACACACTCATCGAAACGAAAACGCCTGCCATGGATTACGCCAGACATCATAAAGGCAGCGCGAACCAAGCGGATATTGTTTCGGAGGGCACGCCGATCTCATTGCCCAGCCGCCCTACGATTGGCAAAGGAGCACCAGCGGACGCTGAAGGCTGCTATCTACGTCTCCCACCAGCAGTATGTTCGCGACATTGCAGAAAGAGCCAAGACCGATCCAAAGGTCTTCTGGACCTTCATTAGCCAACTGCGTTCTACGTCACAGCGACCGAGTTTTACCATCAGTGGTCGCGCAGCTAACTCCCCACAAGAAATAGCCAACCTCTTTGCTGACCATTTTGCTTCTATTAACAACAACAGTCCGCCTCTGAGTTCCTCGGTATTCACAGCACCAAATGTATGTCAACCGGAACTACCTGCTCCACAACCCCTGCCTGTGTATGCAGATGACGTTCGACAAGAACTTTCCAGGGTGCTGTTTTCAGAGGAGACATTGCAGGAGGCACTCGCCAAAATCAAGAACTCTTGCAGTCCTGGGCCAGATGGGGTCGCTCCCATTTGGTTTAAGCTGTTCTGCTCGCATGTTCTTCCAACCACATCCAAGTTACTTCAGGGTCTACTGGACAGTGGGGTCGTCCCAGAAGCATGGCAAGAAGCGCTGGTCACTCCACTCCACAAGGGAAAGGGGAAGCCAGTGGACGAGCCAAGGCACTACCGTCCGGTTTCAATCACCTCAATTGTTTGCCGGACATTTGAGAGGGTTGTTAACGCCCAACTTCTAGGCTACCTCGAAGAATCAAAATACCTCTCGGACAGTCAACACGGCTTTCGTAAGGGCCGCAGCTGTGAAACCGTCCTCTCAACCATAACACATTTTATTAGCGACAACATGGACAACCAAGGCACTTCGGATTTAATACAACTCGACCTTAGCAACGCATTTGACACCCTGAACATTCAACTCCTGCTGGAGAAGCTCGCCCATGCTGGGGTACAGGGCTCCTTATTTACCTGGGTCTCTGGCTTCCTGCGTAATCGCAGTCAACGGGTTCTGTACCACGGCACACACTCTGCACGGACACCCATCTCGTCTGGTGTCCCGCAGGGTTCGGTCCTCGGTCCGACGCTGTTCTTGCTCTATGTGAACGACATGCCACGCAGTGAGAAGTGTCTTCTGGTGCAGTACGCGGACGATACGTCAATTGTGGCGTCAGTGTCATCACAATCTGACGCAGATCACCTCCAACTGTATCTTGCTGAGGTTGAGGACTGGACCACAGCGCAACACCTTCGTCTCAGTACCTCCAAGAGTGGTGTGATGCGTTTCACGAACAGTAAAAAACGCGACAAACCCTCTTACACTGCCGGAGGTGCTCCTCTTACTATTTCGGACCACCTGACTATATTGGGTGTCACCTTCTCGCGGAACTTGG